GGGGTGGCAGCGGCGGGCTGCGGGCAGGGGCTGGCAGCCGGCCCCTGCTGAGAGAGGACACAGAGGTTTGGGGCAGGAGGCAGAGGAACCCTGGCCGAAACGGTGCGGGAGGGAGCACGGGGGAACGCGCGCCCGCTGGCCCGGGAGCTGAGACCGGAGGGGCGAAGAGGGGGAGTTAAGATCAGACTCAGGACGGAGTGGGGGCACTGAGAGTTTGCCTAGAAGAGTCCAACATTTTAACGATATCTAAGAAAGGTTTGGAAGCCAGGAAAGGTGATGGAAGGATGGGTGGGAGATGGTTGAGCTCCCTGGAGTGCAAGGGAATGCCAGCCCCAGCACTCCACGCGAGCCATGGCTGGATGAGTCGTAACTCATGGGGGACCACGGCCCAGCACTGAGAGCCTCTTCGGATGGGAGCGGCAGGCGTACAGGCCCAATAAAACGATTCTGGGTGCCTTTACCAGCTGTAGTTTGGCTCGGCAACGGCCATGTTCTCACCTACACACTGACTAAATGCCACACCAGACAGAGGGAGAAAGGGAAAAACCTGGAGATACAGGAGAAGCAGAAGCTGAAATAAGTCTGCCTGTGTGAAAAAAACAGAGATACGCATAAAAACCCTACCTAAAGAGAACCACTTGTACTTTCATTAGAGCAAACCAGGAAATCCAAATCCAGGAGAGAAAGGCAAGTCGGCGGACTACGCTGACAGCTCCAACGTTTGATTTTATGCACACTTGAGAACGTTTTCAAGACACCCAGCAGAAAACAGGGATAAAACAAACAAGGCAGCAATAAAGCTGCCTCGTCACCGCAGCTGACGTCACCGGGCAGGCAGGGAGCTGCGGGGAGCGGGAGCCTGGGTGGAGAGCCGGCCCGGGCGCCGGGGGACAGCGAGCGGGCGGAAGGCAGGAGGAAGCCATATATCAAAACTAGATGCTCTATTGTACAGGAAGGGCTGACCTTTTGCACGTTTACACTTTATTAAACTGGGCTCGGGGGGAGAAAGGGAGCCAAGATATTGTTTAAAATGTATGACTATAAAAAAAAGTTGTCTTAATCACCAAAGAATACATTGTGGAAGGCTGACAACCATTCATAAGCCGTAAAAAAGAGGAGTAGTAAGACCCATTTCTCGATAATAGATCCACGGCCCCTTAGTTGGAGGCTCCCAGCCCATGACAAATAGTAAGTAATACTTAGCGGCAGCCACTTGAAAAGGTTACTTGATCATTTACAGCAAAAGCTCTGCCCCAGCTGCCAGTCATGTAACAAAACCATCACGTTAAAATGCTATCCGGATCTTTCAGAGCTATGCCACTCAGCCCTTTGCTGGAGTACCTGGAGATATCTTTTGTTGTGCCCTGTTCTTTAGGCACTTAGTCAGAGATGTTTGCTGGCTTGATAGCCGTAGGCTTATTTTAAAATTCTAAACACCGGCCATAGCCTCTCCAGTGGTAAAGGCACTTTGCTATTTAGGGAACAACTGCCTGGTTATAATAAAAAAGAAGGGGAGAAGAAAAGAAATTTAACAGGTGAGAAAAGGTTTTCCAGTAAGTTATCAAAAAGTTACACCTTTTATTTATGTTGTCCAGAGTTTCATTTAAAACAGACAACGCAAGAATAACTCCCATCAGAGCAGAGAAACTACTGTCACTGACTGGCCAAGAAACAAAAGTTGCCTGAAATTCATTTTCAGAGAGAAAGCATCTTCTGAATGCTCAGTCTTTATCACATCGTTCGGCTTAATCACATCCCACGCAGGGCCCTCCGTGAGAGCTGGGGAATTATTTGCAGAAGAAAAGGCTGAGACCAGACTTGTCTTCAGAGTGAAACACGCGCAGAGCGTGCCTCTAATTGACCCGCTACAGGAACGCTGGTACTAACGAAGCAGACAGAAGCAGGAGCCCCTGAAAATATGACTTCTTAAGAGCAGATCCAGGATCATACCGGATGGGCATTTGGTAGTAAAAATCTCACATATTCTTGAACAAACGACCTGTCTTCATTCACCGCATGTGAAAACCCTGCTTGATGACATAGCATGGGAACAGCAGCTCTCCAGATCAAGTGATCTTCACACAGCAACCCAACTTCATTAAAAATTAGTTATCAGGAAGTTTCGGGCTTGAGTGATTGTAAATTTTAGGCTATTCTGTGTGATAAGCTATTAGAGATAACCAGACCTTCCACATCTTTTCATTGCCATGGGAAGAGGACGTGGTCAGGATTTCAGGAACAATGTTAACAACCTTCCACCCAAAGCTTGCTCCTGCTCAGGGTCTGGACGTTTCTCATCGTCTTGTTGGGTTGCTTTGCCACACTAGCTCCTCCCTGCTATCAGATTCTTTACAGCAGATATCCCCACCATTCTAACTCACACAAACACAGGATGTTCCTGGCCAGCCTGTCACCATTATCCAGCCTGTATGAAGGAAAAATCGGGGGAAGTTATTAACCAAACTCTGGGGCTGATGTGAAACAATGAGGGAACTAAGTTTAGCTGTGAAAGCAACCAGGATCCAGCTTTCACAAACCTGCAAGTTATTTATCTAAGGTGGGAAACACTATCAGAGGAGAACAATGCATGTGACTATAAAGGAGAGCAGAATAACGACCACAGAGCTCAGCTCCCAGCAGAACTGGCTGCATTATCACTAGGGAGCAAGGAATCCTAAGGGCAAAGAGCAACCGCTTCTTCCAGAGTTTAGTTATCGCTTTTCAGCTCAGGGTTTTTGCAAACTGGGGTTGATTCTCGTGAACAGTCGCGGTTGCACCGGACCCGGTCGTGCCTTTCACTCGGGGGTGAAGGCCTGGTGCGGCCGCACTGCGGGGTGTTGGGCTGGCACCCCAGGGCACTGGCAAAGGGGAGCGGTGCCCAGCAGCGCTTCCCATGGCTCTGCAGTGACTCTGACCTGCAGGAGACGCAGAGGGAGCAAGTATCTGAGCACTGCCAGAAGAACAGAGACTAGAGCAGCTGTGCAGGGATGGAGAACACAAGCTCTCCGCCAAGTGACTCATCAGCTTTCGGAGCAGGCAGAACTGAACCCTGATCCTCCGCTGCCCTGCACTCTCACGCTTTCTAGCTGATGTGAGGGAATGCCAGGCTGGTGTGAAACGCTACTGCTTGGATGCTGGACAGTCCACCTGCAAATGACCACACCAGGAGCTCCCAACGGAAAAATTATGCAGGCATTCTGGCACATGAAAGGGGAGCTTGGCTGTCCAGACCTCATCCCTGCTCTTCTGTTAATGCAAGAGAAAGAGCAAGGCACAACCACCCTCATCCTCAAACCAGGTATGAAACCAAAAGTGTCTGAAAGTAACTGGTGGAACACAGTGGAGTTTCCAGTCAGGCCCCTGGACGAGAAAGCGTCTGCCCCAAGCGACCTGTTGGCACCAGCTCCGTCTCAGCCTCCCCAGCACTCCACCAACGCCGCATTGTAGCGTTGCTGCTGTTACCTGGGGGTGAAAAAGCAGCGGGGAGGGTCGCAGGTACTTCTCCTTTAGGGCACCCACAGGGTCCGTCACCTTCCGCTTCTCCACCCTGCTGGACAACAACACAGAGGGTTACATACCTCACAGGGCTGCAGGCAGCACAGAAAGAGCCAAACCATCGGCAGAGGTGTTTCAATTCTGTACCTGAGGCTGTTCTCCTACTGACACAAACACCTTTCTTCCCCTTCCACCAGGTACTACAAATGATGACCCACAAGTTACCCCGCAACAGGCACTGGAAACGATATGAAAACGGAGCCCCTCCTCTCGGCAATATTGTTTTAGCCATCAGACTGATGACTAAGAAAACCTTTTGATCTATGTGAGAACCAATGCCTCTGCTACAGTGGTTTATAAGCCTCTGCTGATGGAAAAAGTAATGAAAAAAACTACATTTACAGCAAAAGCAATGTTTAAGTGGGAGAAGCTCTAGAGTCCACAGCAGGCAGCCACTGCATGGAAAAAATCGGTCTTTGAGAGCTTGTCTCTATCTCAAGAGTTCACGCTGAACCAGGCTTTGCAGCCCCCCGTGTGCTGAAATCATGAGGTGTTTCATATTTATTTCCCTTGCAGCTGAGACATAATTTGCATTGAGTTTCTTTAGCAATAACATGTGGACAACAACGGGAACAGTTGGGAACTGGTGGGAGATTTCTGGAGTGACTCAGGAACCCGAGTTCTGATGTCACTTTGGTCCACGCTTCAGCATCTTCCTATGCAGAAACGATCCTAAAGTCAGGCTCCTGTTTTTGACGATACTGGCTTTGCTTTCACAAAATATTCTACTCGCAGGGAAACCACGGTGTCGAATCACCAGAAAGAGAAACTGAAACGTCCTCTATGGGAAAAAAGTGTTATGAAAGTAACTCCAATGATCACAGCTGCATCTTCCAATGACTGGAACAGAGTCCATCTCAGCTAAGCCAGCAGAAATCCAATAGCAAGAGTAATTTTAACTACGTTCGTCCAGCAGAAATGAGAGCAAATTATTTTGCTGCGTTTCAGCTGACTGGTGTGTGGATCAAATTTCCAATGAGTTTAAAAGAAGAGCCATGCAGAGTGCTATTTAGCGAACGTAATTAATCTGCATTTATCTCTCTTAGGTAGAAGAAAAGGGAAGAGCTGGATCTGAACTGCAGTCAGAATTACTGCGCTTCGGAAGCTGCACGTTTTTACGGGCATGAGTTTTCAGACAAACAACGATCTGTGAAACAACAGGTAAAAAGTTGCTCCCCGACACGGGCAGAACAGCAAACGGCAGCGAGCGGCACGCGAGCGCTGGGGCTTCGCTCCCGGCGAGCTGCGATGCCCAGGGCAGAGCCCCGGGACCCGGCAGCAGCCGTCCCGGGACGCGGCCCCACCGGCACCAGGCAGCGACAGCCGGAGCGAAGCGCCAGCGTTCCACACCGCTTCGCCACCTCCCCGCGTCGGGCAACGGCAGCACAGGAGACGCACAAACCTCCTCGTCAGAGCTGAATTCCGCAGCGAGCAGAGGATTAGGCTGATCTTCTCAGCCCAGTGCCTGAGAACGTTACCTTAACAAGGCTGAGCTAAAAACTGCACTGATTTCAGGCTGTCTGGCTGCATTAAATTATATCACCGGGAGAAAATGTCAAGGATTTAAGTGGCCTTTGGGAGAAAAATGAAGGAGCCAAATGATGTGAGACAGTCTGATAACAAGAAGTTTAGAAACAAAATACTTCCATATTTTTTAAGCTGGGACTTGGAAGCTCTGCTGTTTAGCTCATTACATCAGAAGTCTGATTCACAAGCAACTCCACCGCTGACTTTCTATTTTAATATATTACTAAAACTATATGCGTCCCATGGAATGCAACAAATGATGCCCCCATCCTTCACTGCCATCTGTCTTCTGGACCTTTATGGTTTTCCCGAGGCTGCTATTTTAATTGGCAACGGCTTTCTCAACCCGTGTTATTTTAGCATTCCTCCTGAGAATGCCCAGAGGTGGCAGGATCCTACGCTAACGCGGAGCTTTTGCCTTCCTATCCCATTCATTTATTTTTTTCCAGAAGTGCTTTTTACAAAAATAAATGCTGGGCTATTCCCATCATTACTTGTTTTTCCAGGAGGAGCTGCCCACGGTGGGTCCCAGACAGAACCCATTACACGTCCCGGGCTGTGATGCAGCCGTTTCCATCGCAGATGGCAAGCGTGGAAGCGAGCAGCGCAGCACCAGCCCCGCGAGCGCGGGCAAAGCCAGAGACGCTTTCTTAACAGCAAGCGACGAGGGCTCGCTAATCCCCCTCTCAGCTGAAAGTTCTCTGGCCTGGCTAGACATTGACATCATTTTTTCCCACAGTTATCAGCCGTGCAATAGCAGCACGGCAGTGACATAGGTGCTGTTCTCCCGGCCCGCTTTTCCAGCCGCCACGGCCGGGCTCACCGCGCAGCCCTGCCGCACACTGCTCGCCTTCAGCCCAAGTAACGAAGACCAAAACCGCTCGCGTGCAGGAGCCGGATGCCCCGCCGGACACCGCACCCCGGAGCCCTCTGGGCCAAACCCACGGACCGAAATGGATGCTACAACGCATCCTGTCCCACAGGAGAACTAATTGCCACGGTAATGCCTGAATCAGACTAGTTCTCTCTTCCCTGGACTTTGCTAAAGCCAAGCAAACGGTATTTGCTACGTGGCAAACGCAGCTCACCCGTGGCAGGAAGGTCACCAAGGCAGTGCCACTGCCCGGGTGGGTAACCCAAACTCACTGGCACCCTCACGCTAAAGCTGAAAATAATTTTCTGTTGGAAACAGGTTTTATAAAAAAGTTCTAAAACAAAAAAAGACTCAGGTCTTCCCTTCACCTCTTCTTCTGAATTAATTCCTTCTGGAAGTTTAACTGGCATTCAGGTAACCTCATCCAGTCTGCTCTACACATGCCTTCCACGTTCGGCTTATTCTAGGCATGACATAACGAATCAGCCTTCCTCAAAAACTGTCCGTTTCGAGTGAAACTAGAAAACCCTTCTTATCTTCCAAGAAAGATAAGTCTGCAAGAAATGTATCTGGGAGAGACCGGCTAATAGCACTCTGCCGCCTATTTACACAGTACTTGCCACTCCAGGCTTCAAAATGTTTCAAAAGGCTGGGTCCACACCAGCAGTTCCTACAAACCGAGAAACTCTAAGAAAAGGAATTAGAAATAAAAAAGGGGGTCGGGAGGAAGAAAGGTGAAGTGGCTCATCGAGTCAGTCAGTGGGAGAGCTGCATTTCCAGGCTCCCAGGGCTCCTGACTCATTCCCAAGCCATGAGAGCCCGGGCTGCGAGGCATCTGAACTCTGCATTCTTATCGAATCAAACCTCTGGAATTTCCCCAGCAGAAGTGCCATCTTAGCGTTGGCTCGTGGGAGAGTCCTTAAATAGGTCAAGCTACTTCTTTATCAAAATAAGGATGTGTTCTTTATACATATTGATTATGAGTCCTCCTTTCAAAGATTCACCCCTTTTGAGTCAGCAAACACAACGTGCTGTGGCAAGGGAGAAGCACAAGCAACTGCAGCAGACTGTCGCTGCTCTTTCTGAACATCCTACGCCCCGATCCACCTCAAGCTGCCACGCCAGCTAGAAAATTAGCTCATTAGAGGAAACGCTTAAGGCAGGGTATGTTAATACCTGTATATGGGGTCCATGAAAAAGGGTGATGGCTTAGCGTAATGCAGGGATGGCTGCTGAGGCAGCTGAGACTGGGAAATCTTAGGTAAGACTTCATTCGCCATTAGCTTCCTCTCCCCATAAATGTGGTTTTTCCGTGGCTCTCTTCCTCCGTTCTGACTGGCTCGGATGCGGTTGCCAATGCTCAGATCCAGTGGCTGTTCCTCCCCTGAGGACGGGGCTGGCAGGACCTTCGGCGGCGGCAAGATTGGCTTCATCTCTTTTGGCTTCGTGGTGAGATCGAAGGGCGACTCTGTGCTGGTGCTGCCCACTTTGTGGAGGTCCCTGGGTGACTTTGGTTCTGCCTTGACCAGCAAGTTGTGATTGAGGGTCCGCTCCGTAAAAGGATAGAGTGAATGGGGGAAATTGGGGAGGAACTGAAAAGGGAACATGGAATGATACGGGAGCGAACCCATCTTTTTCTCCTGCATCCCCATAAAGCCAGGTCCAAAGTATTTCTCCGCGATGGAGGCGATAGCTTTAATAGAGTCATTGGCTGCTCCCGTGGCAGGCAGCAGGTGCTCCTCGGGGGGAGGAAAGAAGGAATGCTGAGAATAGAAGAGAGGGATCTCACTCGTGTTGTTGGTGGAACTCGCAGACACAGAGCTGCTGACAAAGTCTGGCTTGCTCTCCATTTGTTTGCTCTTCTCTTTCGTTTTGTCCCTGTCGCTCTCTGCATCACTGTCCAGGTCAGACCCGGTGCCAGTAGTGGTGTCCAGATCCGTGCCTGTGGTTGTGTTGACATCCTCAAAGTCACTGCCGTCGGACATGTCGCTGTTCCTGGCTTTGAGCTTCTCCAGGTAGGAGTTTTCCAGGCTGCCTTCACACTTCTCCCCTGAAGCGGCCTGGCTGCTATTGCTCACCGCAGAGATCAGCGGAAGCGCTGGGTTCCCAAGGGGGCTTGGAAGCTTTGCGTCTGGAGTGTGGGAGAGGGGACTTTTGAGTAATTGTGTGGGCGGTAACAAGGGGGGCCTGGGGTATAGGGACGGTGGGAAAATCCCTGGGAATCCCGGAGTGAGGGCAGGAAATGCTGGGGGGGCAGGTGAGAACGGAAGACCCCCCGGGTGCGGGCGGGATGGAAAATAATCATTAAATCCCAGGCTGGCATGATTGAGGTTGGGAGAGGGCTTGGATTTGTCCATCATGGAAGTGGGCGTTAGGGGCAGGCCAGGGGCAAAAATCCCACCAGGGCTGTAATGGTTCTTGCCCTCGCAGAAGCGCCGGTGCTTGTTGAGGGAGGAGGTAGTGCTGAACATCTGGCCGCAGTCCTTGCACTTGATCTGGGTGCGACAGTCCGCGTGCATCCGCTTGTGACGGCAGAGGTTGGAGAACTGCGTGTAGGATTTGTGACAGACCTCACCTAAAGCGTCAACAGAAGGCAACAACAAAAGCGGTATGAAATTAACAGGACACGGCAGGGACCTCCTTTTCAGCCCCGCGGCTGCCGCCCCAGCCACAGCAACACCCCCTGAAAGGGGTTCAGCAAACCCCCTCCCAGAGAACCGCCCGCGAGCGACTCGCCACAGGGACCCAGGGGATGTGCGACGCCCGCGCAAACCATTGTTTTTTGGATTTTCAGTACTGATAATCACGCATTTTAACGACAGTATCTATTTATATCAGCTAGTCTGCTCTCCCTGCAGCCCTGGCATGGCAGGAAGCGCTGAAGGGAGAAGAACTTCGCCTCATTTAAACAAACCTACCCTTTCTGCAATGTCGTTCATAGTAAGGAACCACTCCACGGGGATGATCTATAAATACCCGGCCAGCCAGGCCTCAGCTCAGCTAGAAGCGGAGATCTTGTATTTGTTAAATTAGTAAGACACCCTAGTCATGGTAAGTTAACGCTTAATCAGTGTTTTCTTTAACAACCTGTAAATACCAAGTTTCCAAAATGTGCATTTTTCTGACCTCTTTCACCTACAGACTCTGCTGGTGTGGAAGGAACAGGGCAAAGTAAGAGAAAAATCCCACCCAAACTTTTCTCTGTATCAGAACACTGTAACTTTTTATTATCTGATGCCTCTTTCAACATAGGAACAAATTCTACCTCTCCAGGAGTTAACACGCTTCTTTCACCGGAGACCTGCAGTTGTCACCACTTTGTGAACGTGGAAAGGGAGACAACAGGAGGGAAAGCGCGTTGTTTGGGGCTGGGCAGGCACGGACCCCAGGCCAAGCTCTCCTGCCTGCCAGCCGTCCAGTTGGGTGACGAAGGGGTCCTTCCTCCCTTCCTCCCTCCCAGCGTTTCAGGATAGCTGCATGCAAGTGTGACTTTCCCTGTTTTTTCCTAAATCCTTAGGATTTACATCAGTGCTGGAGTACCAAATGACTGTCGGGAGCATATTTCACCAGCAGCTCTGAAAATACAAGGGGAAGCCCCTTCTACCGAAATTCAAAGCAAAGATTACTGAAATTTAACGAATTTGAGATTTCAGTGCAAAGGAGCATCCCACAACCCAGCGGCCTGTCACTGCAGGGTGTGCAGGGTCTGCTTTCTGACCGCACCAGGCATTCCACAAGCACCACCTCTCCTCCGAGCACGCCAGCCCTGCTGCTCCGGACCCCGACGCAGCCAGGAGCTGCACAGGAACACAAACAGCAGGAGAACCAGAAAGCCATCAGCAGAGTTTCAGTGTTTGACCAACAGCTTTGTCCGATGAGTATGCTAAAGCCATCCCTAGTTTTTGGCACTCACACCTTAAAAACTTGTGTCAGTTCCTCTGAACTACTATTATTTCATACATATAGTTTTATGGCTGTTGCTTGTATTATTTTAGCTACCGTAGACTTTCAATGGAAGGGTTTATTTAGGCTTTTTACTTAAGATGTTTTCTTAAAAAATATCTGAATAGAGTTCTTAAAGGAACCACTACTCAATTTACTCTCCATAAAGCTAACAGTCCCTTCGATACAACAGCCTCTGTTTCTGCAGAAATCTCAGCAGAAGGGCACGTCGGAACCCGCGTCCCACGGACTGGCTGTGGCTCTCCGGGCCGCTCCCCTGCGCTGCTCCCGCGAGCGATGCTCGAGGGACGCGAGGTGCCGGCCGGCTGGGCTCCGGAGGCCAGCGCCCTGCTGGGGCTGGATGCGCCCCCCACTGCTCGGCCCTCGGTTCCAGAGCGGGCAAGCACTCTGCTTGTCCTGCCTGCCTACACAAAGCCACATCTCGGAACCGTGTCCGAACGAACAGGCAGGTGCAAGTACTTCTACGTGTAAGGATACAACGGGTAAGCCCCCTCTAAAATTACTCATAATACCTGAACAAATGTCACATTTGGGTGGGTTTCTTTAAAAGATGTTTGTACGTTTTTCTTCCCAGAACAAACTTACCCCTTTCTAATTGTACCCACCTCCCTTGCCATGTGCCAGGGGATGCTCTGCTGGGTTTAGAAGATTCGCTCAAGTTTACAATAAATGGCTGATCTGCCCAAGCAGCCCGTACCCAGCTTTCTGTCAGCTTGCGCTGGCTCCCCACCGTGTCGGTGGTGCTGGCGTTACTTTTACTGCACGCATTCACAGTATCACAAAAAAGAAGTCCTACTGTGCCCATGTGGCAAAACTTTATGACAAGACTAGGGACAACAAAAGCGAAGTCTTCCAAGGGGATCAGGTTCCTTTCCTCCATTTCCCACTCCTGGAAGAGCTGCTACATACATACGATCTATGCGATGCCGCACAAAACTCCCTGAAGAAAAGCGTGTCAGGTATGAGCGCTCACATCATCATTTTAAAATAAGGAAAACGGGAAAATCTTTGTTTAAGTCCCCATTACACAATGATACACTAACTGTGGGTAATGTCCTCTCCAGCTGTCCTCTGTTCTGCAGTTATAAAGATTCGGTTTTGGGGTTTTTTTTAAGTATAATACTGTAAAACACAAACAAGCAAACCCCCCGCACACAACCCCTTTTCTCCCGCTGCAGGGGAAGCGAGCCCGCCTCGCGGCTCCCCTGCCGCCGCTAATGGGGTCCATACCCCCGCCCCCCCCCCCGCCGCTAATGGGTTCCATACCCACGCAGGTGACTCCGCCTGGCACATCTGAACCAGGCAGGATCAGTCTCGAGTCGCTTTACACGCTGATTTAGACTGACAACTCCCTAATTCTTATGAGGTGAGAGTGAGGAGATTATGAGAAGAAATCATTCATCTCAGTGCAGCAATACTATGAGATTCAAATTATCTCTTTCATGTGCCCGTCACCAAATGAAAGATTGCATCAAAATGAGCAGTAAGAGTATTTTTTCTTCCTCTGCTGACACCCATCTGATTATCTCAGAGCACATTAATGAAACGAGGCTCCCAGGATACTCTTGCATACTGTTCCCATTATACCAATAGGGA